AAAAAAAAAAAAAGTATTCCTTATTTTAATTTTATTCTTTTTATAATTTTTTTCTTTTTTTCTTTTTTTATAATTTTTATGTTTTTTTATTTTTTGTTGTTGCTGTTTGGCCAGGGCTGGGTTTGAACTCACCACCCTTGGTATATGGGGCTGACACTCTACTCACTGAGCCACAGGCACCACCCTTTTTTCTTTTTTTTAAATAGAGACAGTGTCTCACTCTCTTGGCCAAGGTGGGGTGTAGTGTATAATCATAGCTCCTTGCAGCCCCAACTTCCTGGGCTCAAGCAGTCCTCCTGCCTCAGCCTCACAAGTAGCTGAGACCACAGACATGCACCATTATGCCCTACTAATTTTTAAATTTTTTTACAGATAGGATTTCACTGTGTTACCTAGACTGGTCTCAAACACCTGGCCTCAAGCGATCCTCTCACCATGACCTCCCAAAGTGCTGAGATTACAGGCTTGAACCATTGACTGTGCCTTACCAGCCTACATATATTTTTCTAAAGATTAAAATGATATTACTGCTGAAGAGATTATCTTGCCTTTCCTTAGGACAGCTCCAGAAAGAAACGTGATAAAGATGATAACTCTGTTGTCGGAGCGGATTTTGAGCCTTGGGCCAACAAACGGGGAGAAATCCTTGCCCGATATACAACTACAGAAAAGCTATCTATCGTGAGTACTAATAGACATTCTCCTGGGGCCTACTTCAGAGTTAGTAGTAATTTCTTTCTTTTTTTTTTTTTTGACACAGAGCCTCAAGCTGTCGCCCTGGGTAGAGTGCTGTGGCATCACAGCTCACAGCAACCTCCAACTCCTGGGCTTAAGTGATTGTCTTGCCTCAGCCTCCCACGTAGCTGGGACTACAGGCACCCTCCACAATGTCCAGCTATTTTTTGGTTGTAGTTTTCATTGTTGTTTGGCAGTCCCTGGCTGGATTTGAACCTTCCAGCTCTGGTTTATGTGACTGGCGCCTTAGCTGTTTGAGCTACAGGCGCCGAGCCAATAATTTCTTTTTGTTGTATTGCCTCAATTCCTGGGCTCTGTAAGTTTTACTTACTTATGTCAATGTTCCTTGAGAGGAAAATATGCTGATTGGTTTCTCAAAACAGTGTGTCAAGAATCAGGGATGTGGTATAGTTCAGAGGAGTAATTGGGATAGCAGGGTCCTGTCATTGGGGGAGGTTTGTAGAGATGGGGCTTCACAGAAGGGAGGAGAATACCACCCTGGGGAAGGACAGTGTGGGCTTGATGAGTCCCACATAGCTGGGTTTTCTCCCAGAGCTAGCACTAACTATTGCTTTGAGTGTTTACTAGAGGAATTAGTTGGCCTGTACCTGGAGATGTATATGGAACACGAGGCTTATCCTCTACTTGGCAAGTTGATCAGGGAGGAAAGGCTCAGGAGAGCCAAGACCAACCAGAGGAAAGCAGGTCAATGCTGGTATTAGTTAGGATTAGGTTTAGTTGCTAATAACTGAAACTCCCTACAAGGATATAAATAAGAGTACTGTGAATATTTCCTTATCCTGGAAAGAAGTCTAGAGGTGGGGAATCCAGGGCTGGTATGGCAGCTCCACGGTCATCAGGGTCCAGCTCTTTCTGTCTTCTCTGCTGTATTTAGTAGGCCTCACGTCCAGGTTGGTAGACAGAAGGCAGACAGGGAAAGAAAGCTGTACCTCTTCCCATTTAACACAACTTCCTGGAGTCTGTAACTGTATCTCAGTTACATTTGTCTTAAAGATAGTCGTGGGCCACACAGCGATGTAAGAACAACTGAGACGCGTAGCGTGTACCCATCTTCAAATCAAGCTGTGAAGAGAGAGGACGGCGAAGGCTCGGCTACGACGCCACTCTGCTCCCTTTTTCTCCTAGGGCAGGAATGTGCTCATTGAGCAGAACGATAGGCAGAATTACTGCACTATTTACATTTTTCTTATTCTTTTCCAAATGTATGTTCTTTTTTTAACTTGGATCACTGATTCTCATCCGAGACTAATTTATTCCCCCTGGGGGTCATCTGGCAGCATCTGGGGCCATTTTTGATTGTCTCAACTCTGGGGGTGCTACTGGCATCTTGTGGGTGGAGGCCGGAGATGACGCTAAAAATCCTCCAGTGCACAGAATTGTCCCCCACAAAAGACAGTTATCTGACCCCAAATTATAGTAGTGCAGAGGGTGAAAAACCCTGATTTAGAGAAGGTTAAAATGGTTCTAGTTTGTGACTCTACTGCATATCAGAACTTTCGGTATTTGTTGGCTCATCTTGAGAGAGCCCTGAGTTAAGTTAGATATTTGACTCTCTAGTGGTTGTTAGTGACAAATATTTTCCTTCTTTGAATATGTATTTCTGTCTTTCACTTGGATAACTAAATGACTTATTGGAAAATGATGACCATGTTGCCTTAGATTTTTAAAACTATTAATGATTTTCTTATCTCTGCAGAATCTGTTCATGGGATCTGAAAAAGGTAAGATGAGGTTTTTCATTGTTGGTTTGGTGGGAAAATTCTGCCATCACCTTTAATATCATTTTACAAAGGAATAAAAAGTTTGTGTTATGCAATCCTGATGTTTAATTCAGTTGACACTGTTGTCTCTTAGATTGTGTATAGACGTAGAACTAAAATGCTTACTTAAAGCATGAATAAAAAAGGGGTTACTGGGAATAAAACATTAGCTTATTGTTTCAGAGTTACAGAGGAATAGTCTCCCCTCTTAGCACCTCCTCTGTCAGCAGGAAACTGCTTTAGAGACCCTGCCCTTTGCCTTAAGTCTTTGTCCCTAGTGAAATAAGATACTGGTAAGGCTGGTCACCTGCTCAGTTTTACAGGCCACTGGTTCTTGAATAGAGTAGCGAGGGTGTCTCTAACTGCTGTGCAGCAGAGTTACCTGGTTCTGGAGTGACTAACAGATCACATGCTAGAGCAGGAACAGCTTTGCCTATGGGCCTAACTTTGATCCCAGACCATAAAAATAAATCATACCATCATATAAGCACCAGTTTGGAAAGATCAAATAGGTCAGTGATACCAAGTGTCTTAGTCTGCTTAGTGTTGCTATAGAGTAGTGTTTTTCAACTTTTTTTTGAGGCAGAGTCTCACTTTGTCCCCCTTGGTAGAGTGCTATGATGTCATAGCTCACAGCAACTTCAAACTCTTAGGCTTAAGTGGTTCTCTTGCCTCAGCCTCCCAAGTAGCTGGGACTACAGGTGCCTGCCACACGCCCGGCTATTTTTTTTCTTTTTTTAAGAGACAGGGTCTTGCTTCTGCTCAGGCTGGTCTCAAACCTTGTGGGCTCAGGGCAATCCACCCACCTCGGCCTCCCAGAGTGCTTGGAGTTTTTCAACCTTTTTTTTAATCTCGTGGCACACTTGAATCTATAGTTAAACTTCTTTGGCACACTTAAATTAAGGCGATCAAAACTAAGAGTAAAGAAAAGAATATACTTACTGTGCTTTGAACTTCTTTTGAAAATAATTTCATTAATGATCTTTATAAATTTTCATGGCATACTAGTTGAAAATCACTGCTATAGAGGAACACCTGAGGCTGAGTAATTTATATTGAAAAGAGGTTTATTTGGCTCACAGTTTTGCAGGTTGTACAAGATGTGTGGCACCAGCATTTTCTGCTGAGGACCTCAGGCTGTTTCCACACAAGAAGGAAAACAAATGAGAGCTGGTGTATACGGAGATCACATGGTGAAGGAGGAAGCAGGAGAGAGAAGGAGAAGGGTCCGGGCTCTTTTCAACAACCAGTTCTTGTAGGAATAAGAATGAATACTGTCTGATTTAATTATTGGGAGAATGACACCAAGCCATTTGTGAGGGATCTGCCTGCCCCGTTTTCTCAAGCTACTCTTACCAGGCCCCACCTCCAACATTAGGAATCACATTTCAACATGCAAGTTGGTGGGGTCAAGCAAACCATGTCCAGACCACAGCACCAAGTGTTGGTCAGAATGTAGAGCAATGTGAACTCTCACACACTGCTTGTCAAAATGTAAAGTGATACAACCATTTTGTAGAAATTTTGCTTTATACACTAAGTTTGAAGATGAGTGCTATGTTCTGAATGTTTGTGTCCTACCAGAATTCATATGTTGAAATCCTAACCCTCAAGTGATGGTCTCAGGAGATGGGCTCTTTTGGGAGGTGATTACGTCATGAGGGTGGAGGCCTCATAAATGGGATCAGTGCCCTCACAAAGAGGTCCAAGGAATCTCCCTTACTCCTTCTGCCATGTGAGGACATAGAAGAAGGCACCCTTTATGAGCCAGAAAGCAGGCCCTCACCAGATGCTAAATCTGCTGCCATCTTGGACTTTCCAACCTCCAGAACTGTTAAAAATAAATTGTTATGATTTATATGCCACCCAGTTTATGTATTTTGTTATAGCAGCTCAAAGGCATTAAGGCAGTGGGTCTGGCAGTGCTCATAGCTCAGTGGGTAGGGTGCTGGCCCCATACACCAAAGCTGTTGAGTTCAAACCTAACCTGGGCCAGCTAAAAAACAACAATGACAAATGCAATATAAAAATTAGCTGGGCATTGTGGTGGGCTCCTGTAGTCCCAGCTACCTGGGAGGCTGAGGCAAGAGAATCGCTTAAGCCCAAGAGTTTGAGGTTGCTGTGAGCTGTGATGCCACGGCATTTTACCCAGGGTGACCTTGAGACTCTGTCTCAAAAAGAAAAAAGGCACTGGGTCAATTCTTTGGTCCAGCAGTTCCACTGCTAGTGTATACCCTCAGTCAGGGAGTTGGTCAACTGTGTCCTGTAGGCCAAGTCTGGTTCACTACCTGTTTTTTTTTTTCACTACCTGTTTTTGGAAATAAAGTTTTATTGGAACACATATGTTCCATGGAACACGCATGTTACCTATGCGTGCTTTTGTGCTACAATGGTAGAGTCAAGTTGTTGCAACAGAGAAACTACATAACTCACAAAACCTAGAATATTTATATCAGGCCTTTTATAAGAAAGAGTTTTCCAGCCCTTCCCTAGATCCACGCTTCTTCAAGTGTGGCACAAGAACCAGCCACAGTGGCATGACATGGGAGCTTATGAGAAATAACAGCCTTGCCCCACATCTACTGAATAAGAATATACATTTGAACACATTCTTTTTTTTTTTTTTTTTTTTTTGAGACAGGGTCTCACTCTGTTGCCTTGGGTAGGGTGCCCTGGCATCATAGCTCACAGTAACCTCAAATTCTTTGGCTCGAGAGATTCTCTTGCCTTAGCCTCAAGAGTAGCTGAGACTACTGGCGCCCTCACAATGCCTGGCTAATTTTTCTATTTTTAGTAGAGATGGGGTCTTGCTCTTGCTCAGGCTGGTCTGGAACTCCTGAGTTCAGGCTAACCACCTGCCTCAGCCTACCAGAGTGCTAGGATTACAGGTGTGAGCCACCTTGCCTAGCCTGAAAATATTCTTTTTTTTGAGACAGAGCCTCAAGCTGTCTCCCTGGGTAGAGTGCTGTGGCATCACAGCTCACAGCAACCTCTAACTCCTGGGCTCAAGTGAGTTTCCTGCCTCTGCCTCTCATGTAGCTGGAACCACAGGCACCCGCCACAACGCTCAGCTATTTTTGGTTGCAGCCGACATTGTTTGGCGGGCCCGGGCTGGATTTGAACCCGCCACCTTAGGTGCATGTGGCTGGCGCCTTAGCCACTTGAGCCACAGGTGCCGAGACCCTAAAAATATTCTTAAGTGATTCCTGTAAAAGATTGAGCATCACTGCCCTGCAGAAATTCATGCACCTATGGTATGAACCAGGAGATAATGCACAGAAATGATCATAGCTGCATTGGTTGTAGTAGCTCCACATGGGAAACGACTGAGACTTCCACCAATAGTGCATGAACCAGGTTTGGTGGCTCACACCAGAATCCTTATACTCTGGAAGGATTGCTTGAGCTCAGGAGTTCAAGACCAGCCTGAGCAAAATCAAGACCCCATGTCTACTGAAAATAGAAAGATTAACCAGTGTTAACAGGGCACATTTGCAGTCTCAGCTACTCAGGAAGCTGAGGCAGGAGAATCACTTCAGCCCAAGAGCGTGAGGTTGCTGTGAGCTAGGCTGATGCTATGGCACCCCAGTCTGGGCAGTAAAGTGAGACTCTGTCTCAAAAAATAAATAAATAATTAAAAAGAGAAAGTTGCATGAAGAAATAAGTTGTGGTATATTCGTACAGTGGAAAATACTAAACAACAATGAAAATGAGTGAACTACAGCTAGAGAACACCATGGGTCAACATCATGAACAAATTGATAGCAAAATTATAGTGAATGAAGGCAGCAAGACAATATATGGTGTGGGTGGTAGAAAGGTTTTATAATTATTTACTAAAATGTCCATGTACATACTTTCCATGTATATATTTCAGAATGAAGGAAAAGGAGCAACATAGCAAAGGCAAATCATTGGAGGAGACTTCATCAGTGGAATAGTTGCTAGTAATTAAATAATTGCACCATGCTTTCAGCTGACCACAGACTTAATATGAATCAGCCCCAGAGCTGAGCAATCAAGGGATAAAGGAATAAACTTTAGTTCCTATGAGTGGGTTTGGTAGGGAGGAATAAGGGGATAATGTGAGCCACATGACCTCAGAATTAGAGCAGAAGCCCCCTTAACACGGGAAAAGCATTCCGAGATAAGTGGCTATAGAAGGCAGAAGCCGGCAAGATGTTTCACCTTGTCCTGTGTCTGGCCTGCAGCCTGGAGTCCTTTCCTTCATCCCTCCCCTCCGGTCCCCGCTGACAGTGAGATGTGTGCTGACAGATGCTGGAAGGAGGCACAGCTAGTCCTTTGCTCGAAGAGGGCTTTGAAGCCCTGGTGTTTCCACCTAAGGGCAGACAGTGAGATGGTTGTTGTGTTAGTATAAGGGCACAACAGTTCTACAGTGTGAGTACAAGCCTGAGAGGGCCTTTTGTTCTTGGAAAACAATTAAATGATGGATTTTTGGCATCTGTATCTGGACCACTTTTCTTTAGCAATAAACAAATGATACAGAGCAAAGTCCATAAATCTGGAATGTGGCAGTTAACCTTTCTGATGTTGGCCCCCTGTGTTCCCAGAGGCAGTTTTAAGTGGGAAGTGTTTTGGATGGAACTTTGGTTACATAGGGAAGTTGCTTTGACAATCTCAGTTTTCTGTAATGAAATCATTTTATAGCATCTTTATTCATGATGAAGTGTGGAATGAAAGATGCCTTCCATTGGAAAAGCCACCTGGGTAACATAAATCCATTCTGTTTAGGCAAAGCTGGGACTGCCACATCTGCGATGTCAGAGAAGGTTCGGACCCGACTGGAGGAGCTGGATGACTTTGAGGAAGTAAGCAAGTCATTTGTGGGGCTCAGGGAATGGGGGGTGCTTCTCATTCCTTCTGCCAAGTGAGATCAATCTGAGTGGCTGCTCTTTGATTAATTCTTGAGCAGCGCATCGTGCTCAGTCCTCCTGAGGCAATGACTGTATCCAAGGAAAGATGCCAGCTGTGCAGTTGGCCGAGCTGGTGGAAGCCTGACTTGGGCTGCATTTCTGAAGACTTCTTTTCTTGTAATGACTGAGCAAAGCTGGGTCGTCTGGGGACAGTGTCTAATGATAAAAACCAGCTGGAGTCACCTTCCTCGGAAACAGCCTTGATAGTATAAAGATCTTTTCTTGCAACAGAAGCTGCATATGGCTGCTCTGCTGGCTGGATATGGTCCACAGGCATCTTTTAATTGTTTTGCATGCACTTTGACTCTTAAAAATTGGTAAATTTGGGCTGGGCACAGTGGCTTACACCTATCATCCTAGCACTCTGGGAGGCCAAGGCAGGTGGATTGTTTGAACTCAGGTGTTCGAGACTAGGCTAAGCAAGAGTGAGACCCAGTCTCTTTTTTTTTTTTTGTGACACAGTCTTAGTCACCCTTGGCAGAGTGCCGTGGCATTACAGCTCACAGCAACCTCCAACTCCTGGGCTCAAGCGAGTCTCCTGCCTCTGCCTCCCAAGTAGCTGGGACCACAGGCGCCCGCCACAACGCCCGGCTATTTTTTGGTTGCAGCCATCATTGTTGTTTTGGCGGGTCCGGGCTGGGGATTCAAACCCGCCACCTTAGGTGTACGTGGCTGGCGCCCTAGCCTGTTGAGCTATAGGCGCCGAGCTGAGACCCAGTCTCTTAAAAAAACAGTAGCTGCTGGTGCCAGTGGGTCAAGGAGTAGGGCGCCGGCCCCATATGCTGGAGGTGGCAGGTTCAAACCCAGCCCTGGCCAAAAACTGCAACAACAAAAAAAGAGTAGCCAGGAGTTTTGGCAGGTCCCTGTAGTCCCAGCTACTTGAAAGGCTGAGGCAAGAGGATTGCTTAAGCCCATGAGTTTGAGGTTGCTGTGAGCTATGTCACCATGACACTCTATCCAGGGTGACAAAGTAAGACTCTGTCTCAAAAAATAAAAGGTAAATTTAACAGACAAATGTATATTTCTCGCTCCTCACAAAAAATTCCACATGGCAGCTATGGGCCGACATTTTTGCATTTGACCAGAGTATGCATTGTCCAGGTTACTATGGGCCTCCCTGTCCTGATTCCTTTGTAAACAACACTAGCCTGGCCCCCAGAGACAGGTGAGTTTGTATCTTCTGGAATGTCATTTTGAGAGGCAGCATGGCATGGTAGGTCAGAGGACAAAATATAGATCTGGACTCCTGAGTTTGAACCCCAGCTCTGCCATTGGGTAATTCTATGATTTTAGACAAAATTTTAACTGCTCTGTTCCTGAGTTTACTTATCTATAAAATAAGGCTGATAAACAATACCTACCCATAGGTCCTGTTGTTATAGGGATTGAGTTAATGTACATGAAATGCTTAGAAGGGCACCAGCACATGGAATAACCAGCATTATCCTAAGTGTGGAGGCCATAGTTAGACTGCTTACTAACAGAGCAATACACCTTTCCTGTATCTGTTTCTCCATCTATAAAACAGGGATAAAGAATAGTTGTGCAGATTGAATGAGTGTACTTTGGTAACCATAGAGAGCCACATAATGGCTATTGCTGTTGCCTTGTCCTGCCTCTTGCCCCTCAGTGCAGGGTCCGTCCGACTCTGTGATCAGAGATGTTGTGTGCTTAGCTGAGTCCAGTAGTAGTACACAGTTTTTAATTTCCAATTTGGAAGTAACGGATTTTGAATCATAGTGCTCAAGAACCTCAACCTGTGTATTATGAACCAGCTCTGGCGGGTAGTAAGGAAATTGCTGAGGGATTTAATCGTTAGTCTGTATCTGAAAGTTACCAAAGCTGGCTTATGTTGAAAATGGAAGCTTTATTGGATAGAGGACGTATCAGATATTAAACTAATAAGAACAGATACTACACTTGACCTTAGCCAAAAGGCTGAGAAGCGATGGAAGCTATATTGGAAGAGATAGTGGCACTACCCTGAATCCAAGGGCACAGTGGCCTGGGACCAGGAACCAAAGAGCCTCCTAGAAACATGACAGCTGTCCTTGCTGTTTCTCTCCTGTTTCTGTGTAGCTCCTGGTTGCTAATTCATTCTCTGGTTCTCCACTTTTTTCTTTTTTCTACAGACTGGTTTCCTTGCCTCTCCCTCCTTGCAGCAGCAATTGGCTGTCCCATGGTTTCCAGGTTAGCATGTATTAGTAAGGATATGGCTAGGTTGTGCTGTAGTAACAAACAAATCCCCTGTCTCTGTGGTTTACTATAACGAAGGTTTGTTTCTTGCTCATGTTACACATTGAGTGCAGGTGACAGACACAGCAGCATCTCACAGTGCTGCCATCTCAGTGTTTGGCTTCCAAGGTTGTCAACAGCAGGCGCTGAAGAGGATAGTTTTTCACTGCCTCAGTCCAGAAGGGGCATTTTCCACTTTGCTCGTGGTCCATTTGCCCAAACTAGTCACTTGGTTCCTGCTACTGCAGAGGGGCAGGAAAATCTCTACCTTACAGTTTCAGTGACCAGCTGGGATCAGTCTAAATTACCTGAATATTCTTCTTTTATTTCTTTTCCCTTCCCTTCCCTCCCCTCCCCTCCCTTTCCTCCCCTTCCCTCTCTCTTTCTTTCTTTGAGACAGGGTCTCACTGTATCACCCAAGCTAGAGTGTGGTAGTATGATTATACCTCACTTTAACCTTAAACTCCTGGGCTCAAGAGATCTTCCCACCTCAGCCTCCCCAAAGTGCTGGGCTGATGAGCATGAGCCATGGTTCCCAGCCTACTTTTATTTCTTTAATAGGAGTTGCTCACTTGAATTCCAGGAAATGTTCATACGAAAAAGTTTTGAGCCCTCATCTTATGATGTGTGAGCATGACCCTCACTGCTGTAAGCTGTGTGAGTAGCCTCTTCACCATAGCTGAGGGTTTTGAGGCACTTACTGTGTGCCAAGGACTGTTACCATTTCATCCATGCGATCCTCTTGCTCTCATCTGTGGTCTTCTCTCTGCCTCAGATATGCTCTCCTTGGTTTAGTTGCCACCTCCCTGTGCCTAGTTAGCACCTATGCTCCGCTGAGGGTTTGTCTCGAGCATCACTTCCTCCAGGAAGCCATTCCTTACCTCACCCTCCCTGAGTCTACAGTCCATTTCTTTGTTACCATATTTTCCCCCTTCTAAGAAAACCTTTTCCTTCATGTGTGAATATCTCTGAAATAGGAGTGTGTTCCTCTGTTGGTGCCTGTCCACCCATGATCAGTATTTAACTTCCTTAGTGGCATATGAAATAGTTGTACTTTTTTCAGTAGGCAGCTCAGATTCAAAGAACAGTGATATGTGGCCTCATAAAACTGTTTCCTCACAAGTGCTTATGTCAGTTTGTGTTAATGTCCATCTTGTCCTTGGTAACTTAAGCTCTATCAGTGCAGAAATATACTTTTTTAAATTTTTTGACAGAGTCTCAAGCTGTCACCCTGGGTACACTGCCATGGCGTCATAGCTCATAGCAACCTCAAACTCTTGGGCTGAAGCGATCCTCTTGCCTCAGTTTTTCTATTTTTAGTAGGGAGGGGGGTCTTGCTTTTGCTCAGGCTGTCTCAAACCCAAGAGCTCAAGCAATCCACCTGCCTCAGCCTCCCAGAGTATTAGGATTACAGTTGTGAGAAATATACTTAACCCTTGAACAATGGAGGAATTAAGGGTGTCAACCCTTGACACAGTCAAAAATTCAAGTTTTGGCTCGGCGCCTATAGCTCAACCGGCTAAGGCGCCAGCCACGTACACCTAAGGTGGCGGGTT